TTGTGTCAGCAGTATGGAACTTCCATCTCGTGTGCCTTGCCTATTCTGCCTGGCTCCCATGTGTGTAACTTTAGCAATGTTTATGCAAGTTATTTTGAGTGAATGATGATATTTGAGGCTGATTAAAGCGGAGATTTGCACAGATGATGTGTGGAACCCTTAGAGCTTGGCTTGTGTGACAATTAAATCTAAATCTGCATGAATTTAGACCAGCTTAAATGCTTAGCAATATTTGGGTGACTGTTAGTGGCTTAGTGGAATCAGAAGCCCAAGACTGCAGATGGGTGGATGCCCCATGGAATATTGTCATATTAGGGTTTTATAATCTCTTCAGATTTGTGGTTTTTAGGTCTAACTATGGCTAAGCTTTTCATCCAAGAACTTCTTTGGTTTGTGGATACTGTTTCAAAAAGTCCAGCCCATGTTGTGCAGAACTGGTCTCCGAAAGCTTGAGAGCAGCTCTACCAGAGTTGTCACTTTGGTTAGAAAGTAAAAACGTGGACTGGGAAGTTCCTGTTGATGGCTACTGATTAACTAGGAGAGAACCTGCAGTGTATTTTAATGTGCTAGGGAAGGGAAGCTGGTGAGGGCATGAAGTTTCCTGGCTGCATGTGGTGGTGTGAGCAGAAATGCAGAGGAGCTCTCTCCCTGGGGTCAGTAGCTGTTATTCCCAGCACTATCAGAGGGCTGAGCCCTGGGAGCACGTCCTGGCCAAGTGTCTGTGTGCTCTGCAGCGTGCTTGCCCGGCTGCTGAGTGCTGCTGGCACCTGGGGAAATGATGTACAGCTTGATGGGGGACATTTCTTTATTGAGCCAAGGAATTGTAGAGAAACCCCAGTGATCCCTCTGGGCAGCCCTCGCTCTGTGTCCGAGGAGAGCAAGTGAATCTCTTGCTTGTTCTCAAACTGAAGATGAAGCACTGCATTCCTCCCTTCTAATAACACTGCAGGTTTGTTGTGAAGCTGAATTGCTTAGGTTTTCAATACCACTCCAGGATTCTCCAGGGGAAGTTCAAAGCAGCACTTGTCCTTCGGTGTTTATTTTCTGTTTGCAGTGGCTGGGAGGTGGCTGCCCACACGAGCTGGGCATCAGAGATGCCACATGCCCCCACCACAGTCCCAGCTGCCACACTAAAGCCCAGCCTTTCTCTCTGGACTCTGTTCTTGCTGCTTAGTGCCAGCCAGATGGTCTGTCCTCCTCCCACACTGAGATCTCTAAAGCTCATCAGAGGGCTCTGGCCGTAGCTGGGCCAATACAGCATCATTTCCATCACACTATTATTTCCACCATTTGGGGTGGCTTTGTGTGACTCTGGATTGCTCTTCTCATTTCTTACCTTTTTTTAAATTAACATTATTATTTTGTTATACTTTTCCTTTATGTCAATTGGAGAGCCCAGTATCTCTGAACTATTTTTCATGCTCAAATTTGTCATTAATGGGCACAAGCTTCCAAAATCAGTAGCCCACTTAATATTCAGTGTTTTCTGGCCTTTCCTTTAATTACCAGGAACATGAACTTTATACACCATTTGGGGCTAAGGAAAGGAATCTGTTTTTTATAAGTCATACTTCCCACGTGGGTTCACTGGGTAGATCCGAGCTCTGAAAGTGGAGCTGTGGTTTGGTCCCAGGGACGTGCTGGTGTCCTGCAGCTCTGCCCTGCCATCAGGAATAATCCCTGCTCCTGGAGCTGTGGTTTGGTCCCAGGGAAGTGCTGGTGTCCTGCAGCTCTGCCCTGGAATGGTCAGGAATGATCCCTGGTCAGGAATGATCAGGAATGATGGAGTCACTGCTGTTACCTGTGCAAGTGCCCCAGGCACCAGCAGGGCAGAGGGCAGGTGAGCAGCACTCACTCAACGTGTGCTCTGAGAGCTGCCACTGGGCTCAAACACCTTCCTGGCCATGGGCTTATTCCCTCTTCACACTGGGCACCTGGTCAGTGTCCAGGTTCAACAGTGCAGGTAAATATTTGCATTGTGCTGCTGCTCTCCAGAACAGGTCTGTGCTGAGCCTTCCCAGCAGCCCGAGCTGAGAAGGTTTTGCTGAGTGCAGCTCAGCCTGCAGCTGCTGGTGGCAGCGTTGTGATTCCCTGGAATGAGGGAATTCCCTGCTTCCCTGCACAGCACACGGGCTTTTGCTGTGTGAGAGGGGAAGCTGCAGAACACGGTGAGACATGGGGGTCAGGCATTGCTCTTGGTGCTGAGCCTCCTGCCGTGAGAAGCATCTCTGCCAGCCTGGGCAGGGCATGTGCATCCTCTGCTGCATCCAGAATACCTTACACATTCATTGCTACTGCTTTTAGAATCAAATAACTTCATAAAGCATGTGTAGAATGAAAGATTCATTGCTACTGCTTTTAGAATCAAATAACTTCATAAAGCATGTGTAGAATGAAAGATTCATTGCAACTGCTTTTAGAATCAAATAACTTCATAAAGCATGTGTAGAATGAAAGATTCCTTGTGAGGAGTTTGCCCACTTTCTGGTAACAGAGGATCATCTCTCTCACCTCATCTGTCTGTATCTGCACTGTTTATTCATGTGTGCACATGTGAATATTAGTTAACTTACAAGTTATTCCATGCATCCAACTTTGAGCGATATCAGCTTACTTCTATTAATAACAAGCAATACCAGTTTACTTCCATTAATAACTTGAGCAGTATCAGCTTCCTTCCATTAATAACTCTCTTGTAAAGTGCAGCTCTGCACAACTAATCAAAGCTCTTTGGAAAAGTGTCTCTCATGGAACACAGTGCTCAAAGCACAAAAGTAAGGCAGCTGACAGGTTTGATGGAAATGAATCAGCCAAAATAGCAGATGCAGCTCTCTCAAGGTGCTGTGTTTCTGCACAGCACATAATGGACACCTTGCTCAGCTTCCAGATTAATGCACTTTACCAAAATACAAAGTAGGTGGATTCCTGACACGCTGCACTAGCATCTCTGCTCTCAGGTAGTGAAGCACCAATTGTTTTACATTTTGGAATGAATGTGGCAGGCTCAGGGCTGAACCTGCAGGAATTTTGCTTATTGTGAAAATGATACCCCAAGCTGAGAAACCTGCAGAGTGGAAAAGTGAGGAGTGTTTTCAACTCTCTCTGAATTGGCTGCTTTATCAAGCTGGTTTTCAACTCAGATTTATATCTGGTCAGGATTTTGGTGACTTTTTGCCAAAAAAGTTTTGTTGTTATAGTCCTAATTAAACCTAATTACATACTTATGGACACTTTTTATGCTAATAGATGTATAAAATAAGTAATACATTTTAGTCAGAATGTTCTTCGTCTCCTGTAATGAAATTATGCAAATTTGTATACAGTTAAGTTCCTAAGTGTGTGTTCCTTTGAAATGATGGTATTTGGCCCAAGTGTGGGGTTGGTTAAGACATTGTTTTCTTTTTTTTTTTTTTTTTTTTTTTTTTGTACTGTAGGGTAAGGCATGATCTTGGCTGGGCTCTCCTGGAACCCTGTAAAGCAAATAACTTTGAGGACTATCCAAAAAACGTCTGGTGTTTCTTGGGAAGCTTTTCTTGTGGGATGTTTGTGTCAGCTGATGCAGCCCCTTCGGGAGTCTGCCTTCATCCCTGATGTGCCCGGGAGAACCTTTGTTCCGAGGGGCCAGCGTGGTGTGGGAGACCCCTTTGTGCAGGAACAAAGGGGGATTGTATCGGCCGTGAGAGGGAGGGGAGGGGGCTCAGGGGCTCTTTCAGAGGCACTGCAGGGCTGTATTGACAGCCACGTTTCCCTGTAAATCTCCCCGTGACACAGGTTCTGTGTGGGAGCTGGGCGGGAGATAAGATCTGCTTTTATTGTGTGCAAATTCTTAGTGGTGAGTATTTGGTATGGTTTCCTTAATTAAAACACGATGCCTCTTGGACTTCTGTAGCCTAAAGCAAGAAGCCTGGCCGTAGGCTGGACTGTGGTGTTACTCCTGTGCTTTAAAATTAACTAACAGCTTGTGTCTTAGTGCTTTAGGCAGAGGGACCTTAGTGCAGGCTACAAGGAAAGCTCGTGGGTGGTGAGGGTGAAAGCGCAGGAAATGTAGAAGATGAAGCCTGGCAGAGGTAATGGCTATTGCTGCTTGGGCTCCAGATTTTGGCAAAACATGCCTTTAGTGTCAACAGTACCCAAAACACACCCCCAGTGGAGCCTGGGGACGTTTTAAGATGGAGCAAGGCACAGACAGGTGTTGGTGGCTCCCAGCTGCAGCAGAGCATCCCGACCACGGCTGCTGCCCTCAGAGCAGCCCGGGGGCAGGAGCAGCCCGGGTGTCACCCTGGCACTGCCCTGTGGGTCTCTAACGCTTGCGAGTCAGCACCAGCCTTGGCACTGCATGGGGAAAAGGGAAAGATTCTCCAGGTCCTTCTGTTCCCTTGCTAGCCGTCTGCACCCCAGGAATGGATTGTAGCTAAATTGGTCGTTAAGGATCAGAGGAGTACCATTTCCTGGGATTTCAGATTGTTTGTTGTCCTTCTTGTTCTGAATGAAATGGATCTGTGTCCTTCAGCAGAGCGGAGCCCTTCATGTGCTGTGGTGCTTCATTTGGGGCTGGGTTTGTTACTAAGGCCCCCTGGCAGTATTTTGTGGGGAGATTTGGGTGGCAGTGTCCTCACATCCTGCTAGAATTGCTTGGATAAAGACAGTTGGAGTTGTTTGTGTGAAGTGTGGGCGAGCAAGCAGCTGGGTTGACCAGAGTGAAGGTGGGAGGGAGATAAAATGGGAGACCAAAGTGGGCTTGTAACAGGAAGGGGTGTCTGGATTGCTGAAACCAGAACCTGAACTTCATAAAATAGCAAAGGGAGAAGGAGGATCCAGTGAAAGGATTTGGTGTCAGGACAGGAGATTAAGAATTCCATGGCTTCAAAGAAGTATGAAATGCTGGTGTGTCTGCCTGTAGCCGTCAGTGTTAATTTTGGGTGCTGATGTAACTGCTCCTCCCCAGGCTCAAACTGCCTGTCCATGGGTGATTTCCTCCCGAGTGCCACAGGGCAATGTCTGCCAAGGGCAAGGGCACAGGGGCCCTGTGTCCTCAAAACTCTGCTCTGGTCTCAAAATCAGGGGGTGATTACCTTTGAGTCACCTTTTTAATTACTATAACCTTCACGTGGGGAGGATTTATAGTCCTGTGGTGGTGTTGGATGTGTCTGTAGCCCGTTAAATATGGGACAGAATCACTGAATGGATTAAATTGATCGTGTCTCCAGGCCCCACGGTGGCCTGCGGTGGCTGGGGAGGGTGATGGTGACAGAGGTGACAGGGGTGCCCAGTGCTCCCTGCAGCACCCGAGGAGTTGCTGGCTGGTGGCACCAGTGCGGCTCTGGCTCCATCCAGGTGATGTGTCCGTGCCCTTTGCCTGGACATCCCTGGGGATGGGCACGTTTGGAGAGTGAAGAACTCTGTTTGCTGCCATCTCTGTGCGAAGCGACGGACCGTTTTGCATAAAGGGCTCAAACAGCTGCAGTGCCTGCAGCAGCTGGGGGCATTTCTGGTAAATCGAGTGCCAGTTACCCATTCCCGTTTCCCTTGCAGGGTCAGAGCCTTTGATGGTGAGCGGGAAGCTGCCTCACCATGAGTTACTGGAGTCTGGATAAGAAGAGCTGCCTGCAGTACTGCCGGCACTTCCTAGCGGACAACGGCGTGTTCCACGGTGAGTTACGGTTGTTCTGCTTATTCTGCATTCTCGGCTCCTGGTGTGTCCCGCTGCCGGTGGTCCCTGACATTCCGTACCCACGGGAGTATCTCCTGGGGACGCTGCTCCGTGCGGGGGCTCGGCCGGGGGGCGCTCGGGGCGTGCGGGACCCCGGGAGCGGCGGGGAACGGCGGGGCTGCGGCGGCGCCGCCAGGGGGCGCTCCGGGACCGCCGCCCCCGGTACCGGCTCCGACCGATGGCCCCGGTCCGACCGATTCCCCCGGTACCGGCTCTGACCGATCCCTCCCGGTCCGACCGATTCCCCCGGTACCGGCTCCGACCGATCCCCCCCGGGGCTGCCGGGGCTGGAGCCCCCGAGGTCCGGCTGGCCCCGCCGGTGCTGGAGCCGCCGGGGCCGGGCCGTGGCCCGGTGCTTGCCCCTCGGTGCTTGCCCCTCGCAGCCCGGGCAGCAGCGGCAGCCCCGGGCAGGCTGCCCCGGGCAGGCAGAGCCGCTGGGCCCGGGAGAAGCACCGAGCCCCGCAGAGGAGCTGCAGCTCAGCCGGGGCAGAGCTGTGCGGGCTCGGTGCTCGCTGTGCTTTGGGTGACAGGGGCTGGGGTCCAGCAGGTCTCGTCTAATCGTCTGTCTGCTGAGGGAGTGACTTCCTAATGCTGCTCTGAGAGGCCCACACCTTGTGTTCTTTATTCCCTTTGAGGTCAGTAATTAAAACCCATCACTTTTGGGCAGATTTATGGCACTATTAATAACGGCAGCATGGAATGGCTATGAATTAAAGATAGAAATACTCATCTCATTCAAAGCAAAGGTGTTTTTTTTTTCCCTAGAGAGCATACAGCTCCGTTTTCAGTGTGTTTTTCAGGACTGGAGAGGTTTGCAGCCCACTGTAAAACAAACTGCATTTTTGTCACTATGGTTATGTCACCATTGATGAATTTAATGGCTTAGTGGGAGAATTAATCATTTGTCAGTCTGTGAATCTTCCTAATGAAGGCCGGTTCAGAGAGAGCCCCATTTTTCCCTGTACTCCTTTTTTTCCTTGCCCATGAGCAGTCCTCGTTCTATTTGGGACACCAAAAGAATGTTAATAACTTCCTGTAAGTAAGTCTGACAGTGGTGTTGTCACATTAATTCATGTGTGCTGCACTTGGGACTTGTGTCAGAGGGAAAGTGCTGTCGTCTCCAGGCAGAACCATTCTGCTTCTCCAGTGGAATGAATTTGTTCCTGGGGTTTATCAGGCCACTCGTGTGGTCCCACGGTTTTGGTGGGATCATGTTCCTTCAGAGTTCCCTCTGACCTTGTGGCAGGGCCCTGTTCCCCGGGTGCCCCTGAGCACTGGGGCAGTGTTTTGGCAGGTGCCTGTTAATCCCTGCTCTTCCCAGGCAGCTCCCTGCCCTCCTGCACCAGTGTGTGACTGGAACAGCTACAGGGGCGTGTATTTGCAGCTCTGCCACTCCAGGATAGTGCAAGGGGAGTCTGGTCCATGCTCTGAGGCCTGAGGTGCTGTGTCAGCACAGAGCAGCACCCCACCTTTATCCTGCTAATGGTGCAAGGCTGGGTAATGGTCCATCAGCACAGAGTCCAGCAATCCATGAACAGCTATTGAGGGATGAGTCTGCAAAGTGATAATCATCTACAGCCCAGGGCATAATTAGCAGGAATCCTAGACCAGAAAAATTTCATGGCCTAATTTATCTGTCTTTGATTGATGACCAGATGAGATTAACTATTTTTCCCTGACAGAATCCATCAGGGCTTCCCATTTGTCTCCTTTAACCCAAGCAAGGCACTGCAGAGACAGCTCCTTTCCTCTGAGTGTAGGGAGGGGCTGAATTCCTCCTGGCCAGTGACAGAGGTGGCAGTCCCACAGCGTGCTGTGAGGATGGGTGCAGTGTGCTGTTCTGGTGCTCCAGAGAGGCTGTGCTGATAATTCAGGCTGCTCACATTACCCCAGTGCACCCTCACTGGGAGCAGCGGAGCAGTTCAGTGCATCAGGGCTGCCTGGAGTGATTGTCTGCAGCTGAACCTGTGAGCTGGAGGAACTGCTGCACCTTGGGGCAGGCCAGGTGAAAGCATCCCACAGGGCCAGTTGGTGTTCTTAAAAAGAGTAGGAGTATCTTTAGGAGAACTGGCAGTGGCTGCTGAGGTGCACAAGAGGAATTTTGCTGCCCAGCTGTGCTCATCTCTGGTGTTTTCTTCACACCCTTGTGGCACCTGCATTAGTTTAAGCACCTGAGCAGGTGGAGTTCCATTTGTTCACCTCCTGCTGAGGAGCTCAAATGCAAGAACTCATGGACTGCATTAATAAAAATGTGTGTCTGTTGGGAGTGGTTTAATTGTTTTGTGTAAAAAAACCAAAACAAAACACCAACAAAACCCCAAACATCCCAAAAAAACCCCAAAGGAAAAAAGGCTCAGCTTGCAGCAGAAGCACCCAGCTGAGCCTGCAGCCCTGTTGCAGTGCAGTGCCCCTGCAGCAGCAGGACAGCACCTGCCCCGTGGGGTGTCACATCCCTGGAAGTGTTCAAGGCTGGACAGGGCTTAGAGCACCCTGGGGGAGTGGAAGGTGTCCCTGCCCATGCAGGGGGTGGAACAAGGTGAGCTCTAGGGTCCTTTCCAGCCCAAAGCACTCTGGTTCTGTGCTCAGCTGAAGGAAGGTGCAGTTTTGAGCGCTCAGGGGAAAGGTGAAGGTGCTGGTGCCACAAGGCCCAGCACAACGCAGCCCTGGGCAGCAGCGTTTGAGCAGGGCAGCTCAGGAGCAGGGAGAGGGTACAGAAGGGGAGAGGATGTGAGTCAGGCTGTTTAGTTTGGGAAATCAGAGGTTGGGAGGGGATGTGACTGCTGGCTCAGTGCATTGCAGAGGGAAAGCTCAGGAGGAAAAGGCTCGTTTGAGCTGATGGGGGAAGCTGGCACAAGAGCAAGCTGAAAATTGTCCACAAGTATATGAAGCAGGCCCAGGAAAATCTGAGGTGTTTTGAGCAGAAGATTGACAGGTTTTAGAAAAATGGTTACAGCATTGTATTTGTGCTCCTGCTCTGAAGTTGTAATTGTGATTAGCAGGCAATGTATTGATTAGTGGGAAATAAGGCTGGAAAACTATCTGTGGTCCCAGTTCAATCCCTGTGTGCAGTGAACTTCAGATCCAAACAGCAGTGCTCCCATTCCATTCAGGAGATGCTGCTGCACAGGGATCAGGCTGCTCTCTGCTGGGTTTTAATGGTGCTTTGAGACACTTGCAGGCTGTTACACAAGAGCTATTGATACACAGCTGTGGGGCTTTCCACGGGGCTCTGGCAGGTTGTCTTTAAATAATGGCTGAGATTCGTGTGTGTAATGAAATACTGTGTGCATCCACCTTGCCTAAGGCTCTCTCATCAGTTTATAATTTTATTAAGAAAAGCTGCTAATGGCTGCATTTGCAGGATATTAAAATTCTTATCTGTTTATGTCTGAAATTTTTGGTTACAGAAGTGGAGGTTGCTGCTGTGCCTTGTACTCTGGGGAGTCTTATCTGCCCAGAAGCAAAAATGTCAGTTTTCTTCAGCAGCAGCAGCAGCAGCAAGATACAGCAGTGTGTGTGCACACAGAGAATAACAGACCAGAGACAGGGGCTGGGGGTGAGCTGCTTTACCAGTTTCTGCAGAACAGAGAAGACAAGCAATTAGAATGTTTGGAATAGCCTTGAGGATTTGATAAACCCACTTTCATTTCCTTCCTCTTGCAAGCAGTTCCAAAGTACAAAGTACAGCATCCCTCTAGGCTTGGAAGAAGAGATTTTTTTTTTCCAGGGGTTTTAAGCTGTAAATGTGCATCATGTTTTGTTTGTTTGCTGGCAGTAACAATGTAGGAATGGCTGTGCTGTCAGAGCAAACATCCATTTCACTTTGCTACTAGATGGTCAGGGCTGAAAGTATAAAGGGAAAAAAACCCCCAAAGTGTACAGAAGAAACCTTCCTGTGGCTCCCAATGCCTCCCAGTCAGCAAGGCAAGTACTTCCCCAGCCAAAACTGCACCTAGATAATTCCAGTTTTTATCATTGCATCTGACTGGGGGTTTCCCCCCACTGTAAGATTTTTGGAATTCATTTATGCTTGTGACCATCTGCAGGAGTTAACCCCAAAACTTGTGTGGGCCCTCTGGTTGGAGGGAAGCAGGCTGTCAGGGATGGAGCAGGGTGTGTTGCCCTCTTGTTTCACCTTGGAAAGGGAATTTCCTGGAAGGTGTGAGTGGGTCTGAGCCTGACAGGGGACACAGGTCGTGTTGGGCACATCCTGGTGGCTTTGGCTGTCCAACATCCTGATGAGGAAACCACGGAGAGCCTCTCCTTGCTTCAGTGGCCTTAGACTTCCGTGCCCAATGAGAACATAAAATGCCTTCTGTTGTCCTTTTTTATGCAGTCAAATGGCCTATTTTGGTTATTGGAGCACAAGAGTTTTGGGGGAGCAGTCCTGGAGCTTTGCCAGATTGCAGAAATCCTTCAGGCCTGATGTTTGCTGAAGGGCAGTGCTCTATAATTAGCTCTGCTGAAGCCTCGTGCAGGGCTGTGGCACAGCTACAGATGCCAGCTGTGGGCTGCAGGATTCAGCCTTTTATCTTCAGTTGCTTCAGCTGGAGTCTCAGAATGATGCTGGGAAAGCAGGACGAGTTGGTAGTGCAGGAATTTGTGTTTGGGTTCACGTTCTGATTTATGTGAGATATCCACAATCCATTCCTTGAGACTAACAGATGTAAATGGAAACGTGTTTGCAAGAAGAGCATTAAGGAATTAATGTATTGAAGTCCACTGAGGTTTAAAAATGGCCCAAAGTGCCTGAAGAAACTCTCTCTGCCTTGTTCAAGAACTGTGTCTGTCTCTGCATCTGTTAATGAAAGGAGGAGTCTCATGTGGGATCTGTCTCCAGACAATGTTTCAGGTGCTTGTGTTCTAATGCCAAGTATTTTTCCCCTTTCATTTTTTGTGTTTCTCAGCTTTCCACAGAACCATGTCTTCATTAACGATAA